CAGCTGGAGTTGCTCCACACCCAGAGTGGTATAGAGAGCGGCGTTGGTTTGTAGTACACACCCCCTCTGGACTCTACCCACCCCACCCCACCTGAGATCACGGTCGACCCCTCAAAATTTAGATTTCGTGATGGCTTTTGAGGGAAATAGCGTCCGTTCCATCCAGTCAGATGTGGCTGCAATCAGCAACTGCGCAGCGCAGGACAGTCGCACGCCGACTGACCAGACCACCAACTGTACTACACACCCAAACTGGTGCTGAACTCAGTCCAGCTCCATTTAGTACAGTACAGACCCTCTGGCGCTTGAGGGCGCACGGTGGCGCCATCTGGCGTCCCGTGACTGAGACGGAAATACCCCGAGACCACGGCGGCCTCGGGCGTGCTGCGTGCGGTCGGAGCTGCAATGGGTTTAGGGGACCGTGCGTAGAAAACGTACGCGACCTTCTCGAAAACTGATCTCGTCAAAAACTCTGTCGTGTGTCAGTAATGTGTCATGGCCATGTCCTCGCGATGTACAGGAGAGGTCCGGTTAGCTGAAGTCAAGCATCTTTGCCTCCCTTATCGCCATAAAACTATCAAACTTTATATAAATCTATCATGTGTATTTCACCAACACTCGCGATGTACGGTGCAAACCCCCTTTTAGTCTCGCTGGTTTTCCAGCTGTTTTGGTTTTCCACTGCCGCTCTAGCACCGCCCCCGTGACCTCTGCTCACCCCCACTTCCAGCTCGCCTCCCAGACGGCCCCCAGTCCCTCTCCAGCGCGGCGGAGCGGAGCAGCGGCGGCAATGGCGGCCGCAGTCGCCGTGTCACGCGTGTCATTCTCGTTCCAAGAACCCCCCAGAACTCGCCCTCTGTCGTAAACAGGGGGTGGCCCGGGGACTGGACCGGACCGGCGCACTGTTTACATTCGTTCTCGGCGACAACAAGGCGACGTGACGGGAGAAACCTATCCAGCCATCGCCATACGGTGCAAAGGCCCGATCGATAAGGAGAGGAGACGTCACGCACAGCGCTTTGGTGCTCGAGGGACATGGAGGTACACATCGCCTAGATCATGGGGCGAGCCAGACAAACCGCCTGTGCTCGTTCCAAGTAGATTTTCTCTTGCTCCAAGTAAATGCTGATTCCGAGCTTCACCCCCCCCCCCAGCAACCTCCCCTCGGGATCCTCCATCCATCCATCCCTTGCTCTTCGGTACAGTCCCCACCAAAGAGACCTGTAGTTCTGCTACCCGCTGTAACAGCACGTGATCTTTGAGCGGTGTGAGTGCCTCGCAGTCACGCCCCCGGGCGTGCTGGCACGCGCCTGCACGTGCGTTTGCATCTGACTCACGTGGTGTGCTCGCCAGCACCGACAGGCAGCGCAGCACAGCGGCGGGTAATGGTTCATTACTCGAGGCTCGACTTCGAACTTCGGTCTCGTAGAGAAGGAGAAGAGAATGTCGCGTGAGTCAAGGCGTGGCACGCGGTAAAGTTGTACTGCGAGGAGAAGTCACACACTCGTACCATCCTACAGGGTGGTCGGCAGACCCCTTCTCTTATTTTGCTCATACTGTACAGTACAGCATGCAGGGGTGCGGGCGGGCTTGCCGATCGTAGTTCGCCGTAGCGCCTTATGGCCCCGTGTGAGTATGCAACCCGGCCGCACGCCTGCATCCGGTACAGCATAAGCAAAATAAAGGAAGGTGTCTGTCGACCACCTTGTATAACCGGGGTGGAGGCCCCGTGTGCCAGGTTGCCTACATACTGCCCGTCTGCGGTATCTCCAACTGCTGTGTCAACAATGCACGCTGGTGGGCCGGTAACGCCCTAGGGTGGGGTGCCGAGCGGCTTTGGCTCAAATCCTTGTATCTTATCAGAAGGAGATTGACCCAGGATTAAATATATATAAGAGCACGAGTACAGTGTACACGCTAGTATGTAGGAATCGAAGCATGCAACATGGCAACCACACACCTCCCTGTCCCGTGGACTGGTTCACGTCCGACATACTCCCTTCCCTCTGGGCAAGCCTCGGAGCCCAGAGGGGAGGTCAGTCAGCATCCTGAGGGTTCAATACCTACAAGACGTCGTGCCGAACAGGGGCCAAGTACTACTCGAGCGTGGAGACCGGTGAGAGTTGCGGTTCATATGTCCAAGAGCGCCTTTTTAGTGTTTTTTTGATCAAGCGAGAGTATCTAAATTGCGTCCCGGCGAATCACGTCTCGCGAATCGCGACTCGCGTCTTGCGACTCGCGACTCGCGTCTTGCGACTCGCGACTCGCGTCTTGCGACTCGCGACTCGCGTCTTGCGACTCCGACTCGCGACTCTCGTCTTGCGACTCGCGTCTTGCGAATCGCGACTTGCGACTTGGTGACTCGCAAACCAGAAGTCCAATGTCAGAAATCGCAATTAACAAATCGGAATTCGCGAGTCGGAAATCGCAAGTCGTGAGCCCGCAAATCGCTAACTGAATATCTTCAAGGACGTTTGAAGCTACGGGTAGCCCACCGATTTGGAGACCCGTTGCGAGAGTTATTCCTAGGCTACTACTGACCCCCCTCCCTCCCTGATGTGGGTGTAAGGCTCAGCTCTCCGACCGGAAGTAGACAAATACGGTCCTCTCCCCCCGGTTCTCCCCCCCCCTCCCCTTTTCCGTTATACTGCGTTTATCAGAGGCTTCGGGCCCCAAAGAGAGAGATGGAGGGCTTTACCAGCTATACAGTCTAGATGAAACGAGGGGGGCTGGGCTGGAGAGGGCGGGCGGCAGGCAGCTGCCTCGTGGCGGTGGCGGGGGCCAGGGCCAGGTGGTGCCCTGTCCATCTGCCCCTCGCATCTGCCGCGTGCGGTGCCGGAGCGGCGCTCTTTGATTTGGGCCGGGGGCAGCTGTCGCGCCAGGTGCGGCTGCACAGGCTGCACAGGCTGCACGCGCGCCCGGGCGCACTCCCCGCGCTGCACTCGAGCCGTACAAAGAGCGTCTCGTCTCGCCCTCGTCACATGAGCGCGCCGTGTTCGTGGCGACTGAATGGTTGCCACACTGCCGGGCGGACGGGCGCTGTTATCTCGTGATTCCGTTTGGACGGGGCGCGACACGACGACGAGATGCGTCACGATTTGTCTGATAAGCATGAATGAAGGGTAGATTAGGAGGGGGACACAGGGCAATATATGGGGGTAGTCCACAAGTCCACAGACCCCTCCCTTTATTTGTAGTGCGGGCGGAGGGTGGGGGGGGGGGCTTGCCTACCGTCGCTCACCACGGCGCCTTACGGCCCCGTGCGAGTATGCAACCTGGCCACACGCCTGCGTAAAGGAAGGGGTATCTGTGGAACACCCCCTGTATACTCTGTGAGCACAAAACTACGTGTCGGCATTGTTTGGTGCATCCAGACAATGGTTACTCAAAAACATGTATACGATGTATGCACCTAAAAAATGCATACCATGTACACATATTAGAGTTATGACACAGTAGGCAAGGCAAGTAATAAATTGGCCTTTACCCCAAATGATAGGGCAACGCCCACACGCTAATAGTTTCCAGGGACAAACTGTTTACTGAGATCAAAATTTCTAATATTGACCACAGGTTGTAGCTTGAAAGAATTTACGATTTTTTGGTGACTGAACTAATGGTCGCATGGGATAAAACGTCTCACTACCTCAGAACGTCTCAACGCGCTGGCTAGGAAGGGCAGAGCAATGATTTGTTCTTTCGCGGTAGGCGAAATGAGGCCTCACCCAACCTTGAGCAAAGACCGCGGAAGGCTTTTTGTGAGTTTGTGGGGGGGGGGGGGGAGCACGGTGACGCAAGAGGTCACATTGAGACGAGTCGTCTCATTCATGACTGTTGTTGGCGTCCACTAGAATTCTCGGAAATTCATTATCCACCGGCTCTTGCGTCATAACGTCGTCAGAATCCTGTTGATACTGAACGCGGCCTCAAGTCCTTTGTAGTTTCGCGGCGCACCCGATGGGCCTTCCCTCGAGTGCGGCGTAACACAAACGCCGTGTCTCCTGTCATGTCTTTTCGTACTGTTTTCATTCCGCCGTTCGAAAGCCGGATCTCATAGAAATGGAAAATTTTGGGTGCTTCTCCATACTTTTGCGGGAAATGTAACAATTAATGGACTGGATCAAATTCAAAATTATAAATTTAAACCAGTATGGTCATTGAGGCTTAGTGAGCTGGCGCGAGGCTAGGGCTCAGGTCCAGCCTCGCGATGAACAAGTTCGTCTCGTAGGGATACTTTGTCACTGGTTCGTTACTATTGTTATTGTCTTCTAGGTACGTAGGGTTGTGAATAGAGTGCTAACATCAAACTATTTATTGCACGTTCTCGTGCGTTTTGCTTATCGACTCCAACCTTAACCTTACTTTGCCCCCACCCCACCCCCACCCCAATGTTGTGATTGTTGACAAAAAGATGAACGTCACTAAATCCACCATTAGTCGTCGCTCGCTGTGGCGTGTTTTATCCAATAAGTAACTTAAAATTTCTTTGGTTAGAAAACACCAAGACAGTGGAAGGCTCACTAAAGGTTTTTCATTTGTACTGTTCAACTAATTTCTTTTCGTAGTTTCGGGCGCTCTGAATTATCTTATGAGGAATACATGCGTTTTTGCGTGTTTGCTGTTTTGTCACTTTTCTGATAAACGTGTATAATGTATAATGCCATTTGATAAATGGCCCAGTTCAAAATCAAACCCTACTTTAACTCATGATCTTGTGCAGATATAATTTTAGTTGTTGACTACTATGGTCTTTGAAACAGTTGTCTCACCATTGCCTTTATCTTGTTTGTTGCAGACGATGACGCCAAACCCAAAGCAGGGAGGAGTAATAGGAGAAGTGTATTTGTTGCCACAACACCAACCTGCTCCTCAACATAGGCCAACATCACTTCCATCAAGATCTCTCAATTACAGAAGTGAGAAGGAAAGGTTGGAATCATTTGCTGGCTTCCCATCCAATGCAATGGATGTGAGGCAGCTTGCTGCTGCCGGTTTCTGGTTTACCAAGAGTGAGGACATAGTGCGTTGTGCATTTTGCAACGTTGAAGTGGGACGATGGGAAGAGGGTGATGATCCCATTGAAGAACACAAAAAGTGGTCAAAAAATTGTAGTTTCTTGAAACGTATGGAAGTTGGAAATATCCCAGTGGACCCGTCAAATCCTCCTCCTCTCCCCCCTGTGGAGCATGGTGGCTATGATGAATGTGGAATTTACAACATTAAAAAGTCAGACAATTGTCCTGTTATACCTTCCCTTGAAAAATTAGGAATTCAAAAGAGGTATAACCCTGCACATCCTGCATATACAACTTTGGATGCCCGGATAGAATCGTACAAGAGTTGGCCAATTGGCCTCAAACTGAGACCCCAGGAACTTGCAGAGGCTGGATTCTTTTACACAGGTTGGTTCTATATTATTTTATTCTTCAATTTTGTTTATTTTTTATGCTTGACTGACATATACCCATTCTATCCTGTTTGCTTAATTTTTTCTCTCTTTCTTTGGTGTTCTAGGTCTTGGTGACAAAACCATATGTTTTCAGTGTGGCGGAGGTTTGAAGGATTGGGCTGAAACGGATGAACCATGGAGAGAACATGCCCTATACTTCAGCAAATGTGGTCATGTTGTTCAAACGAAAGGGCGTGACTACATAGCAGAGGTATTGGGGAAAAGACCAGCAACTCTCACTCCAGAGGTAACATCTCTAAGAAACAAGAACAACTTTTTTGAAATATTTAAAAAAGTACATGCTGTTCTAATATTTCATTTCTTAATTAGGAAATTCGAGCTCTAGCGATTCCCAAGGAGTATTTGAATGTGGTGCAACAGCATCCTCTACCAGAAGAGGAATCACAGGCTAGCTCAAGCAGCAGCAGTAGAAGCAGTAGCAGCAGCACTTCGGAAGAACCCCAACCTGTGTCTGAAACGCCTACCAAGTCAATAGACAAGCCCACCAAAACAATAGAAGATGCTAGGGCATGTAAAATCTGTTTTTCTGAGGAAATTGGTGTGGCGTTTCTACCTTGTGGACATTTGGTTTCTTGTGTCAACTGTGTGCCTGCTCTTAAAACCTGTGCTGTATGTCGGGAACCATTTTCCGCAACTGTTAGAGTTTATTTATCTTAGTGATAACTTTTTAGATTGTATATATTTTTTTAAATTAAACTTTAAAAAAATTATTTTTCTACATATTTATTGACAAGATGTTCCTTGATTTGAAGTTAACAGCAAAGGAAGAAGCTTCAGTTGAAATCCTGCCTTTGAAGATATCACACTACAGTACATGAGTCATACATAATAGTTCAAAGTTAAATGTCTTGGCTCATTTATCAGAAATTGAGAACAGAAGTCAAGTGGGTTCTTAAGGTACAAATTGCCTCGTTTTAGGGGGAAAAAATTTCCTGAGATCATGAAGGGGACATTACATGCATACAAAGACAGGAGCTGGAGAATTATTGAGAGAGTAATGTTTTGATGTAAGCATTGTCTTTTGACAAAACTTCTGCACGTAATTCTTCTAATACTTTAGCCTGATCAGATGATGATTCTCCACATACCTTTTTACATTTCTGAAGGAAATCCTCCATGATTTGCTCTGCTTCCTGTAAGCAAAAGACATTAAAAAGATTAGATTAGACACCATGAAGTGAGAAGATTTTAGGTACAGCCATTTCCAAACAAACCTCAATAATCTTCGATTTGGATGTGTCATCAGAAGCAAAGTCAAGACCTTGGTAATCTTCAAGTTCTGCTTGTCTCCTTTTCGCATACTGAGAAGTGCAGAAAGCAAACATGACCATTAGTTCGCAAAGACAAAACATCATTGAATCCTAATCAAACTCCAAATAATTACAATACATGTGTGTATAAAAATCCTACTTTAGGCTTTATCAGGTTGAGGAGTTTAACAGTTCAACAGTGTAACAGTTGCACATTTGATAGTATGACCATAATCTTGACATTTATACTTTGTATATATTCCATATAAACACATTTAACTGTGAAAATCCTGGTTATATTCTCAAATATACTGCAAAATGCAACTGTTACACTATACCTTAACCTGATAAGGCCTCAATTTTCACCTATGATAAAATTCACTGTGAGTAGGAGTTTTTCTTGAAAGTTCAACAAAACCAAGCAACGGGCTATCCATGCTTTATTTACAAGACAGCACAGTAGGAAAAGATCACTACTCTTAATATAAATCAAAATGAATTTCCCCTACCTCAATTACATGTGGAGGAAATTTAGCCATCTTGGCTACATGAATTCCAAAACTTTGGTCACAGACACCATCTTTCACTTGATACATTAGAGTCAGGGAATCATCAGTTGTGATAGCAGTCACATGACTATTTTTGATATTTGGTAGCATTCCAGCAAGCCTAGTAAGTTCATGGAAATGTGTGGCAAACAAGCAAAATGCTTGAACATCTTTAGCCAAGTGCCTTCAAGACAAAAATTAATTTAACAAGAATACAGTTAGATATTACCTAAGACTAAATTTTTTTTTAAAAAATAAAAAAATATCAGGGGGTAAAAAAAAATTATGTAAAATTTATGAACTTACTCTGCAATAGCCCATGCAATACCACATCCTTCATAAGTTGATGTGCCTCGACCCAACTCGTCAATAATCACAAGAGAGTTCTTAGTGGCAGTCTGTAAATTAAATTTAAATGCGTTAAACTTCTTACTCACATTGACTAAGCACTCTTTTAATTGCATTTGCGCCTGTGAGGTCATGTGTGACCCCCCAAGAGTCCTAAGATTCAACACTCCTCCAAAGTTTGCACACTTGGTAGAAAGTCACCCTGCATTTTGTTTGAAAAACCTACCCCTAAAATTCCAGCTGTTTCCACCATCTCAGTCATGAACGTTGACATGCCCTTCAGCTGGCAGTCATCAGCACCTACTCGAGCAAGTATAGCATCAACCAATGAAATTTCTGCTTCATCACAAGGTACGTAAGAACCCAACTGAGCAAGAAGAACACAGACCCCAACTGATCGAATGTAAGTACTTTTACCGCCCATATTCGGACCAGTTATAATATGAAAAGTGCAATTTCCTGTAAAATTGAAAAATATTTTAACACAAGATATTACATTATTAAAGATACAAAATATCTGAGAACTACAAACCATGTTGAAAATAAGCATCATTAGGTATGTAATCAACTCCATCCTGACGCTCCAAGCAGGGATGGCGAGCTTGAGAAAGGCGCAATATACCAGAGCCTTCTGCATGCATTTTAGGACGTATATATGGTCTAGGGGCTGTTGCCACCACAACAGCAAAGCTTGTCAGGACATCCAAATGAGCCACAACCCCACTAAGAGTGTTGAGTGTTCCAGAATATCCAGCTAGTAGAAATAATGATAATTTTTTTTTTGTTAGCAACAGTTAAAAATTGATGTAAAATTATTAGTGACTCCTAACTGCAAGAGAACAACAAAAGTCCTGTTTCTATAGCTTAGGAGGCCAACAGACTTTAAAGAGTCATTTAACAGATTCCTAGCATTTCTCCCAAACAATGTAGTTCTGTCTCTCTAGTACAACTTTGGGTATACCTCTAGAAAACATTTTGAATAAGTACAAGTATACAAGAAGTAGAGAAAGACACATCGCACTTAGGAAACCTCTTCATCTTCCACAGTAGGACTGAACTTTACCTTACCTGCAATGTTCATGATTTCATCCACAACAGCTTTTTGGTGCTCTTGATATTGTTCTCGTGTGGCAATGTAGTCCGAATTCATCTGCTCCAGTTTTGAATCTCGAAACCTTACACCATTTTTGTTGGTATCAATGGTATTAAAATTTTTATTATTCCTAAGAACTTTTTCATCCTGGATTTGTAAAGGAATTTCATTAACAATAAAAAAAACTACTAACTAGCAAGAGAGGGAACAATTTGAAATTTTGAAAAAAAGCCGACAAACCTTTAGAGTGACGCGGAAGTAATAACCCAACTGAGCATTAGATTCTAATTTTATGGATTTTCCAGGTTCCAGACTGAGGTCTCTTGCTGCTTTGTTAAGTTGAGATTTTAACTTTTCCTCCAATTCATCCATCTGATTACGAAGGTCTGTTAGATATACATCCAAAACATTGGTTTTGTTAGATACACAGACACATTCTATTAGATGTAAATTTATCTGGTAATTATAAAATTTTAACCTTGGAAATTTTCATCAAATGAAGGTTTGACAAGAAACTCCCCACGGTCAACAATATCCATATCCAGTGTAGTTTCTATCATCTCCTGGAACTTGTCCATTTCACCAATACAATCACGAAGCGGATCAATGATTACTGCTGCAAATGTTGGATGTGGGCTGCCTCCATTGTAATTGTTAAGAGATTCCAGCATTAGAGGGAGACGTGACACAGCCTGGTATATTCTAAAACAAAAGATAGGAAATATAAAAAACTGCAAAGAAGTATGCTGGTAGATAAAGAGCAATTAGAAACAATCTTTTTACTTGTAGCAATCTTGCATGGTTGCCTTTTTTCTATGCAATTTCTTTCCAAGGGCTTGGAGATCAGGAATTCTTCTTAAATGGTCTTCTGTCAGCGTCTGACGCAATTCCTCATTTTCACACAACACCTGAAGACATTTTTAATACAAGTTAAAATTTTGTATTATCACAAATCGAATGAATAATTTATCTGTAACATTACGCATTGTACAATACTGAACCTGCACTATATCATGTCTTTCAGTAACAGCATTAAGATCTCTAAGAGGCTGTTTGACCCACTGGCCTAGAAGTCGATGACCTTGAGGAGTTCGGCATCTATCAAGAAGCCCTAATACACTATGATGCCGTGTTAGGGAGTTGGAGCCAGGCCCTGGCAAAAGGTTTAAGGCCCGTACAGCAGCAGCATCCATATGAACATATCGTTTGATATCAATTGTAGTAAGTGTAAACTGACCACTGTTGCCTTCATCATTTCCAAGCTGAAATTAAAAATAAGAATTTAGAATAAGAAAGAAGTTTTCTAGGAACATACAATGGTGAAAGAACAAATTCGCCAATATAGTCTGTCTGGGTCTGACTAATAAACAATAAAATAATTTTCAAATCTGACATATACAGGGTTGCGGTTATTAAATTTCGCCAATGGGTGGCAAGGAAAGGCCAATTTTTGTCCAATCAGGGGTTTTGTTGGTCACACTCTTAAGTCTTCCCTCATCAGTCTTTTCCTTTTCTTGTGTGAATCATTCTGGAACATTCGGTTCACCTACTACCTCACAACAAGAAGACATTGCAAATATACATATCAAATTGGTTCCCATATAGCAGGAGGCAAAGAAATAACACACAGGAGTAAAAAAGCTGATAAGCTGCTAGGTGCAAAACAATCTGACCCTATCAACAGGCTTAGGAAAATCTTGAAAGCTCCTGTTGGAATCTTAAGGTTAATCATGTAAAATTTGTTATTTGCTGGAGATAATTGGCAAATCTGGTTTTCTCGTCTTTAAGGATTTTTGCCCTTACATACGAAACATTTTGAAACAAACCTCCAAATACTTTATAATTGCAGCCAAGGCCATTGTAGCAGTAGACAGGTTCATTTCTGGTAAAGCCAAAGAATTCTGTTGCTGTCCACTTTTAAATAAAAGAAGTCTGTTGAGGTCACTGGGTAGATTGGAAGTGGAAAAATCTGCCTTTTTACGGCCAGTAACAAGAATATTACTTCTATCTAAGACCTGCAAAGAATTTGAAGGATGAGTGTACAAATAGAAGAGCTGAGCAGTATTCAGGAAATAGCAATGAACACAGAAATGAAAATGCTGTACAGTCGGCTGTCGACCTTTTTCAATGCTGCTTGTTCAGGTGAACCATCTCCTTGAGGTACCAGGCATTCTTTTGGGCCCAACTGGACAATTAAAGCTTCCAAGTTAGTAAAATGGTCATCATCGGGAAATTCACACACACAGAATTTCCGGTCTGCTGTTTCAACAAAGCCAACTCCAACAAACTGAAAGAAAGATAATATAGAGATAAATGCATAGGGATAGAAGAAATAAATGATATGTACCAAAACTTATCCCACTGTTTTGCAGCACATACTTACTTTGTTTTTTTCATCTTTACTCAGTTTTACAGCAATGACAGCAGATCCAACAACTTGGTCTTGGGAACTAAAGAGCACATCCTCAAACTGCACTAGATTGCCAGGAGAGCCCTTTAGAAACACAGGAAGGGTTTAAAAAAGTGAGTAGGTAGGCTATAGCTAATTAAAAACAGATAGAAATAATAAACCTACCTTATATTCCAAAGACCAATCACTTGAATTACGTGTACCACTTTTATTGGTGTAGACTTCAACTCTGTACTGTTTTACAAGAAGTAAATCTCTAACAAATGATTCAAAGTTTGCTTTACTCAATACAACAGAATCTACTTTATTGTCACCTTTAGGACATGAAGAACCAATATTGAAATCATAATACAAAATAAATTTAGTTCAATGTAAAAGTTTACAAAACCATAAAAAAGGAACATTACTTACCTGCTCCAATTTGTTTGACAACAGATGAAGTTTTAAAAACTTCTTTGGCAGCGTAAACAGCATCAGATCCATGAAGAGTATAAAAGTCTACTCGATTAAAAAAGCGGATAGTTGTTGCAGGTTTCTGTAAGGTTGAAAGCAACAAATTACAAAATTAAATACACATAAGAAACACATGTATTACAGGGATGAAATTGACGAGTAAGCAGACAAAAGAAAATGAAAGAAAAGAGGAGGGAGGGGGAGGAGAGGCAGGAAAGAGGGGAATAGAGTAAAGGAAGCCCTTATCAAACAAAAACAAAACCCTCATCTGGAACACTTTATCTGGACATGCTCACAAATATCAAAACAAGGAAAGTTTTAGGGCATATAGAACATAATATGTAATAGCTCATCACACTATGTGCATTAACAATCTCTTTAATTCTTATCAAATGCAACACAGATCCAAAATGGCAGGGTTCCCAAAGTCTGGCTCTATAAGTCCCACTCCAAGCTGAACAGTGATTTTTTGGTTCTGATTGAGCCTGTCCTTGAGGCCAGACTGATAGAGACTTCCAAGAAAAGAAAAATGGCATGTATAAGGGGAATGCGATGAAAAGCCTGCTGGAGTCTGCAATGGAAGATAAGCTGCCCGAATTCTTTGGGGGAGGGGGCATGTGTGAAGAGGCTGAGCCCATTGCTGTAGGACTTGGCTCAGAGTGGTTGCAACAAGGGAAGAGGGCTGTTCATTATGCAGAGCTTACGCAGGTAACAATAGAATAAATTTTGCTGAGATTTTCAAAGTATTTTAATGAGGCAGGCATGTGTTTTGTGTGGATATGTTACGAGTACCAGGAACAAGGCCTTTAGGAAGGTTTATGAAGTTGTTTTTTTATTGCTCTAACAGGTCTATGATATGGGTTATCCTCGCAATGCAACATGTCTACAGTGCTCCTTTGGATGAACAGAAAATATATTTCCCAGGCGAGCATCCTGATGGGGGAGTGGAGTCTAGAAGGAGTGGAATGCAAATGCAATCACATTTTGTACCGGTTAGTTTCGATTAAGCAAAATCAAAGACAATATGTTGTGTAAGGACGTTCATTCAAATGTAATGACGAATACTATAAAATGATTCTTTGTTACAGATACAACCATATCAAACAGTAGGTGGAGGACCAGGAAGAAATGTTGAGTGGTCTGAGGACAACACACACAATGGAGAGGTCTCCCGACAATACCACCTCCAGCATCCTCAGTTGCCACTTTATGGCGGATATGGTAATGGACTGCGAGGAGAGTACCAGGCAGGTGAGTGGGGACCAGAGAACTTGAATGCAGCTGTCCCTGCCAAATCGACATCTTATGGCATTTCAAGAGGAAGCACTTATCAGCACTTGTCAGGAGCTCATGAAACGGCAAATTATCACCAAGGATTCCCACACATGCCAGGGGACCTGCACTCCTTGAGTAATGATGCTCTTAATGGAGAAGAGGAGGTCAGAAAACAGATATGGTCATCCCAACACTCAGGTGAAACTGAAAGACATCAGCATGAACCACATCAGGTAGTTCAAACATTTGAGAGTGGAAGTAACGGCCTAAACTCGTTGCATGGGCAAACTATCAGTTCAAGTAAGTACCAGACTAGCCCTGATGACTTGACCTCTATATTAGATGGACAATCTAGCCACAAATTGCATCCCAACATCAAAGAAGCTCTGGATCATGTGATCAAGGATTTTGGAGAAGCTTCTGGGAATACATTAAAACAACCACAACGTCACATGGTGCACAAAATTTCACACATTAAAAAGACAACAGTTCAGAATGTGGGAAGAGAACCCACTCAAATTCATTCCACATCTTCTAATGACGATATTAATCTATCACAGTTGATAGAGCAGCTTCAGATGCTGGAGCAGTCCCCTCAGCACATAAACATAACTTGGTGTGAAGAGAAGATAAAGGAGTTCTTACGAGAATTGAGACGTAAGCAAGCAAGTGGGGTTTACATCAATCAACAAGTGCAAGAGCAAACACTGCATCAAGTTCTAACACATGAAACGTCTGTTGAAAATACTGACACAAAAGAAGGTGTTTATGAGCCCCCAATGACAAGAGTGACAGTAAAACCACTTGGTGGAGAAGAATCAACAGGCTTCATAGCAAATGAGCAGAGCCATATAAACGAGGTGTCTGTTGATCAGGCACAGGAAGGATCATCAAACCATGAAGTGCAAATGCATGAATCATTTGTTCCAGAGGTACTGACTGTAATTCCACCTGCTTTTCCACATCAACCAGAAATTATGTCTCATCAATATGAGCAGCCAAAAGAGGTACCACCTTTCATATCTGACAACAGCAGTGACTTAAAAGAATTAGAGTTAGAACTGCCAGAGTATGTGCCATTCAAGCATTCTCAATCTGGGGGCATTGACGCTTTCGAGGGTATTACTCATAAGGAAACTAGACCACTGTCACATTCTTCATCACAAATGCAGGCCCAAAGTGAAATTTCTCCTGCACATGAAAGTAATGAAAATCTTCCCCAGACAACTTTAGAGGAAGAACAAAGTCATGCTGCACACCAAGAGGTATTGATGGAGCAACAAAAGAGCAAGGGTCAGCATACATCTATCCATTCATCACCCAATGAATTCAACAATCCAGTAAATTTTCAAACAAGTCGTCAGGAAAGTGGCAAAGATCAGCACCAATCTGAAACTAGTGTAACTGGTGAAAGCAATACAGAAATAGAAAGTACTTTGACTCAGCAGCATAGTAAAGAGGAAAATCATGAGTATGGTGAGAGTGGTGATGTAGGTAATCATATGGTACACGGGCGTCCTCAAGCTCCTCAGGAGGAACTCATTGCCAGTGTAGAATCTAGCCATGAACAGTCAGAGCACATCAAAGAACCTGAGCAAGTAATGAATCACCCTACGGAGGAGCTCGCCAATGGATCATTGATACAAGTATCTGAACAGGAACACCATATTAACTCGCATGAATCTACCTCAACGCATACTGAGAACCTTCATCATCAGCAAGTTAACTACGATAACTTGATAGAGGAACTTATACAGCTAGAGAGCATTCCTGGACACCAAGCTATTGACAAGTGTGAAGAAAAAATACAAGAATTTTTAGAGATACTCAAATATCAACAAGAGCAAGGTTTTGGAAGAAATCAACAGGAGCTAGAGAGACTTCATCAAACACTCATTGAACAAGCACAAGAGAGAAGCAAACAGCTATTGAATGTAGAGGAAACATCAGCATCTCCAACATCCTTTTGGAGAAAGGTGCAGAAAAAAATTAAAAAGACCTATCAGAGTGCCAAAGATAGAGCTAAAGAGGCTATGGGTTGAAAAGGATCATCACGCTTAATTGCACAGATACATGAAAACCAACAGAACTATAGTCTGTAGGATGTAGGACATATTAAGATGAAAATATACCAAATATACTGAGTAAACAAATAATTTTGCAAAATTTTCTATTTCCCCTCTTGGAATGGCAAACACTGTCTACACTTGTACTTGATGAATTACGTACCTCTGGCAGTGACTTAAAAAATCTCACAAAGCCTTGTTGTTGAGTAGAATCTGAAACAATATACAAGAGAAAGCGGTGTTATAGGGCTCCTATCATATTTTTAATGCAAGGAGGGGATCTCAAGGGTACAGGCAGGACCTTCGAGACAAAGGAGATAGAGAATGCTAACACCAAACAGAAATAACAGACCAAAATTCTGAGGTATAATGTTCTTGTAAGCTTAGAACTTCCTTGAGGATTTGGGAAAATGACTGGTACCCTGCGCAGTATCATTAAGTCTGCTATTTTGTAAACTACATAACCTGTTGTCTTTAGCTGCTGCAAGCAGTGGGAGCAATTTACGAAGCAATTATTGACAAACAATGCATACCCATGGACAGTTGGTGAACTGGTTGGACTGCCATTTTCTAAAAATCACTGATAAAGGTTTCATAAAACACAGCAAACACGCAGAAAACTTTTGATGCCGTGCGTGATGGTAACCTGACGTGCCGACGGCCGACGTGCTTCGAACAAAACAAAGATCATGTACTGCGCACAGATTCGCGCCACCGGCACCGGCAGCAGTATGGCACTTTCAGCGGCCGCAACGGGCGGTTGTGGACAGACGGGGAAGTTTGGGAAGAAATGTGGAGACCAAGCAAGCAAATAACTTCGAAACCCAAGGGCAAACTATTGTTTTGCTCGAGAGACAATAATTCAATAGAAGCAATGTGTTTGGATATTAAGGAACAGTAACTGATACCATAAGGAGTCAGTTGGAATACAGAGTTTTGGACTTGGAGGTGGCAGAGTTGACGGCCTAACAAGTATTTTCTCAGGAATGAAAGAAAATTAGAAAATTGTATTACCAGAAGCATTTTTATTTATTAAGGGATTTACCTAAGATGCAAGTTCAATCTCAAAATACTTTCTGGAAAAACAACATGGTCAGTCTTTGTGTAAGTGAAGCATTGAACCAAAAGGAATTGATTAGATTTCAGAAAAATTGTCCCACATGTCTTACAAAAACTACAGGTTAGAATATATATACCAATAATTCATCAATGAAAGAATAAGATTACAAATGTTTACTCCACAGATAAAGAGACAGTGGATGTCTATTTAAATACAGAAATCAAACTTACTGGCTGTGCAAAGAAATTTAAAAAGATTTTCTTCTAAAAACATAAATTAATTTAAAATAAGAGGGTGATCAGTCATAATTTTTCACTATCCTAACTTTCTAACAATTCTCATTAGAAGTCATTCATTCAACATTCGCTCCAATGACAGAATGCATAGAAACATTGCATGATTATTTTCAATCCCTCCTAATTTTACAATTGACTGCATATTTCCTTCATGTGTACAATATTTACACTGGCTCAGGGGAAATGTAACATGCTTCTATAGTTCTTCTTTAGGTAAATCGTCCAGTTCGACATCAGAGAGATCAATATCTTCCTCAGCTGGCAGTTCACCATCTTTACCATCCCAAGGATCTACAGAGTTAGTTGAAGGAAGTGATGCCCCTTTAACAGGAGCAGTTGAGCCCCGGCCAAATGACAGATCCCTGCAGAAGTAGAAGGTAACATCAATAAGTCACTTTTTTTTAGAGCAGTGTTTTAGATTAGATTATTATTATTAGAGGTTCTCCATTACCTTAAGAATTCCTTGATACCGTCACTTGAGAAGGAGCCTCTGAGGATGGAGTATTTCATTTTCTTGGTGTTGACTACAGCCATGGCTGGATAACCAAAACCACCTATATCCAAAGCTGATTCTAAGTCTGATTGAGCTCCAGCTTCAGACCAAACCCAACTAAAAGAAAAAAACTCAGTTGCAACAGAAAAAATATTGGTACAACAAAAGTAAAATACTACATAACAAACTTACCCCCACATCTTGTTCTTAAATTTCTCACCCATACTTTGGAGAATATTTAAATAATCATTGCGGCACTTAGATTGGCAATCTAAAATATGAGGCAGGACTGACACTACACACAAAGGATGTTCTTCACAAGCTTCCTTGAGCACAGCTTGACTCACCAACTGAACAAGACAACACAAAACTTAGCATTTGGAGGGAATTATCAAATACCATTCACATATACGCATTAAGGGAAAATTAAAAAGACCTGTTTGATTTCTGGTGGTTTGATGTTATCGGCAAACTTTTCCATTGCCCATTCAACAATATCTTTTGAGACACGTCCTCCAGTGTAGTCTTGAACAGAATCTGAATCTTTTTTACCAGCGGCAAAGTACTTGATAGTAGGGTAGCCCTCAATTCTGTATCGTGAAGCAATAAGTTGATGAACAGTGGCATCAAGGGCACCTAGCTTTACTTTACCCTTCAGCTCAGTGGCTGCTGATGCCCATTGAGGAGCTAGATTTTTACAATGTCCACACCATGGAGCATAAAATTCAACCAACCACATATCCTCAGATTTAAGCACAAGATCCTCAAAGTTTGAATCTGTCAGCTCAACAACATCCTGAAATAAATTTGGTGGGTTAACACAGAAACATAATGACTTATATCCACACAGCAATAGCTGATGAAACAAATCTACCTTGCTGTCTTTGTTTCCACTTCCACTGCTGCCACCTCCACTTGAACCACCTTGAGTGTCAATTTTCTTACGGATAGCATCAAGAGCAGCATCCACAAAGCCCTTGGCTGTGCGAGCTCCATTGTAATCTTCTGGCTTACGTTTGTTGGCTCCAAATATTTTAATTGATGGAAAACCCCGAACACCATATTGGCCACCAAGTGACTTGTGCTGGTCGGCATCTACAGCACCAACTTTCACCACACCCTAAGAAATCAAATATATTATTTCAAACTTAATTAAATTACAAAGTGTAAAAATTTCATTTTTATCAGAAATACCTTCAACTGGGAGGCTGCTTTGGAATATTCTGGAACTAAATTTTTGCAATGCCCACACCAAGGAGCAAAGAACTCAACAATCCACACTTCATCACTTTGAATTACCCTCCTTTCAAAATTATCCGGAGTGAGCTCAACAACATCTGATGACGATGGGTAAAGTGCTACACTGGAGCTGACCAGTGTAGCAAGAAATAAACCTGCAAACAACAAATTTCAGGGATAAGAAAAGGAATGCAAGGAGAGGGGTCATATATACCAAGAAGGAAAAATAAAAAGGGTGAAATGGTAATTTTAATTAAGGTAAAGATCAATTTTCTAAGCAGGACAATCTCAACAAGGCAAAGGTTAAGATACAATATCTCAGGTGAAGTTGTTGTTTTCTTCACAATGTACCAAACAGAAAATACTTACACACTAATTGGTGCATCCTTGATGGTGGAGAAAAAGGTACTTCGTGTAATTCAGTAAATCTCCATGAAACGCGATGCCGCAAACGACTGTCAGAACCGTGGTCAGAACAACACCAAGATAACACCCGTCGGCCGTCGGCATAAGTTGTGGGCGATGCGAAATTCGTGGTGGCCTCTGATTGGCTTCTCCGTTGCAGACTCCCAGTGTACGACCAATCAGAGTTCAGCCGGTGGCTTGACACATCAACACAGCAATCAGCACGCCATCTGAAAATGTCAAAGATAATGAGGTGCTCAGATTTATTACGAAATTTTACATTTTAATCATTCTGTTGCCAAATTTTGGTAAAGTTCACTATTGAGTGTACTGAAATGACTGAAATATAAATGTGCCACAATGAAAGTAAATTTTTCATATCGTTATCTGCTCAAGCAGAGCTGAAGGCGGGCGGAAGCGCTCGAGCAGAAGCCTTGGTGTCTGTTTGTTTGTTTGGGCTTGGGCTGTCAGTGGGTTGGCTTAAGTATGCCAAATACTGACTTATCGGTTGACTTGTCCCGCTTTGAATAGTTGTTCGCTCCTTTCAACTGACGGGCCTGAGGATGGAGAGTAAACTTAACATTGTGCCTGGGGAAGCACCAGAGTCAGATGATGAGGTAAAATACTGATTTAAGAGGTATAACCTCTTCTCTGTTTCATATTTCCTCCAGTCGTTGTAGTGGAATTCAAGTCCATTATTGTCTAAATACTTGCAATCCTCAGGAGATTGGGGGCGGCGCGCGCACCACAGGTCTTCAAGGTACAGCTGTCATGGGAGAGGCCCCAGAATCCTCATCTTCAGAGGCAGATGATGCAGATGGTGATGAGAGACGTAAGGTTTTTTATGAACACAATCCTACAGTGAATTGCTTGCATTAGTTTGAAACATTTTAATTTGCATGTATTATCTTTATTTTTCAGTTGATAGCGTTCAGAGTGTTAGTAGTGCAGCCAGCGTATTGTCTCTTTTATCGCCCATCAAAGACCCGCTCAAAGACAGTTCAATAAGTAATTCAAAGGATGAAACTAAATACAATTCTCTACTCCACAAGAAATTACGTAAGTTATTGTTACATATTAATGTTGATGTATATGTGGTCACTAGCTATAATTTTGGGGGGCCTTGGTGTAGGAGAGAGAAATGCTTCCTTACGGAGAAGTGTGGAAGATTACATCCATCAGAGTGTGGGAACAGCTGCAAGAGATTTAAATTCAATTGATCAACATCTTCTGAAATCACAAGTTACACTTCAAGAAGCAGCTACATCTTTAAGAATTCTTCAATCCAACCTGAGTCACATACACTCAAAACTGTCATCAATAACATCATCTACGTATCTGCCATCCATCAATGTCAATAAACTGTAGGGAATTATAATTGTTGGTAATCCTGATCATGAGTTTCACAAAAATGGTAGTGTAAGTTGAAAAAGAAATTTATGAGAGATATTGTGCAGCCTTTGAGCAAAAGCTGAAAATATGAGGAATGAATAAAGACTGAAGTAATTACATTGTCATTGATTCTTACAAAATTTATTCCATGCATAGATAAAGAATACAATAGGTAACACCAATTATACTCAAATAAAACAAACTAAGTAATCAAGGTACTAAAGTCAACCAGGATAAGAGTGCTGAGTTGACTCTTAACTTAACGTTTTCTTTTATACTAAGCAAGTGCTCTGCCCAAATATATCCTTACTTGATTGTACATGGCAGTGCCTGGCTACATTTTTGGGCTCATAGTTCTCTGTACTATGTACATAAGTAACTTAACTATAAGTTTTGGGGAAAACAAAGAAATAATTATGTTCACAACTTTCAATGATACAAAATACATAGGTCCAAAATATTCAACTTACAAATGAAATTTGGCAAGCGCATATAACATGTGTACAAAAACCTTTAAAACCTAATTTTGGTATGGCACCAAGTTATTGAAAACATTTCACAAAATATAGGTCCATGTCAAACATAGGATATGATGAAAATGTTATCAAATGAAACACACACATGGACATACTATACATTTGTGGCAATTAGATACAATCTACAGTGAGATCTTCTGAAACCAACAGTCAATGTAAAATCTTGCAGAAAGATATTTGAACCAAATAATATTTCTCAAATTTCATTGAATGAGAAAGTTTCTTAAAATAATCAACTAATTAGAATAAGTGAACACAATTTGTAATATTTTCCTTAGAAATAGAAGCAAACTCACACACAAAATTATTATATGTAACAGAAATCTGAACCAAAAGTTAATATTGTAGAATGAGTGCAAGTGAGAGGAAAAAACGAAAGGAAAACAACACACTTGAAAAGAAAACACTACCAAAAATATCATGCTGCTTTAACCAAAAGCATGATATAAGAGGAGAAAATGAAATATACAAAATATTTAACACATTACGTAGATGCAGGGTGATTAGTTCTGGGAAAATGCTCTGAGATCAGATAAATATTTTAAAAAACATTACAGAAGGGGAAAAATATAGCAAATACCTCATTTACCTGAACATACAGTAAAGGTAGGGGACTAAATAATCAGACATAATTAAATTAAGTAATTACTGAGTCCACCTGCTACAACTATCTTGTTTTCACTAAAGTTAGTATAATGTCAACTTCAAGTATTGAGCAAACGGTACAAAATGTCCGGGCAAATGTTTAAAGTAATAAGACTGTGTGTTTAAGATACTGTTCAAAAGAGATGCTCAGGAGATCAATCTACTGCTATCACGACAGATCAGTCTCATGAATAATTAATAGGACATTCACGAATGTATGCAAATTAGAATTCTTTACAGGAAATAGAATATCAATCTTATTTACAATAAAATAAAGAGCTTTACAACAGACAATAAGATCTTTCAAGTAAAAAGATGATAAATGATTTGCCAGAATAAACAAAAGATATGCAACTGCAATACAAGTTAATGAAAAGAAGGGAGGCAGCTATGTACATACAAATTTTTGTCACATTTCTCCTTCAGGAAAAAAAGGAGAAAGATGAGAAAAATATGACACCACTAGTGAGCATCCCTATACTATGCACAGCAACCTTAAAATAGGCTGTCACTGAGTTATGGAAACAAATGACTACTCTAAGAAATCGCACATGTACATAAACTAAAATGAATTTGAACTAGATTTTTGTTCAAGTCAAATCGTTAAAAAAATTAACTGCTTTCTATTTTTATTTCATTTAAATAAAAATATTAATGCAGCAACCTTGATCAGCAATTGTAAATGGAAAACCTTGGTCCTCTTAAAAGTTAAAATACAAAGCAGAGGTAATTGAATCAGGCATCAGCATGATTCAGGCTCAGTACAAATACAGTAACACAATGTCAATACTTTTTGTATCCTCAGACTACAGCCGTTTTGAAAATATGACAGAAAAAGGTTTTCTTTACAAGTCCTTAGATAATACTCTGAACAAATCCATAAACAGATAAAAAGAACTCACCATTTAACAACACAGAAGTTAAGAATTTAAAACACTCCCGGAATGACACGCTTCTTCACTCTGTTGGAGTAGCGTTCCCAAGCAGCACCGTATCGCAGTTTGCAGTTCTCATCCACTCGTAAGGCTCTTTCGACGAACAGCAAAAGAGTCAAAAGAGGGAAGGCATAGGGTAGTCCATTCAAATTGCCTACAATAAGAAAATTGGATGATTAACGGATTAGAAAGTATTAGTTCCATAGAGAAAAAGAATTTTAATGCTCTACAAATAACATGGTGGGTGCTTGTGTAACCTCACATGTGAAACAAGGAAGAAATAGCCAATCACCATTTTGGCCATAGAGCAAATGAACAGAACTTACCACACAGAGCAGTCCAGCATATGTGCATAGTCAGAGCACCTAAATAGTTGGGATGACGGATCCAGCCAAACCAACCAGACACCAACAACTTTTTGCCTTGAGATGTGGGTATGGTTTCCAAATCTGAAAATAACGAAACGTTGCAAGACATCAATGTAGGCATAGGTATAGAATGTGTGAGATATTACTGAATAACCAATATTAAGATATGAAAATAGATCAAAATAACAATAACTTACAAGAAAGAGCAGGCTTGAGAGGGTTTTTCCGGAATTCTGCCTTTTGGCTACTACTGGCACGATAGATTACGTATCCAAGATTATGGACAATGACAAGGACACCATACAAATACCAAGACAATTCCACACTAAAAACAGAATGAGAAAACCAAAGGATATAAATAAAATGGCTCAAATGAAATGAAATTAGATATTAATCATAAGAAACAAGTTACTTACTTGTAGTCCATAACGTATTTAGAGATAAATGCTGTCAAGAATGGCCAACCAGCATAACCGACAATGGACTGGAATCCAGCACCAGCTCGCTGGTATTCAAAGCTGTACAACCACTGCTCCTCACAATAGCAGTAGTCGAGAGTGTACCAAATTTGGAGACCACATGCAATAACAACTCCAATGGCATTACCCTGTTTGATAGCATCCCACTTTTTCAAAAGGAATACAACGTTCAGAGCCATCTGTGGAGCAAAAGAAACATAAACACATTCTAGGTAACTACGCTTTTATCAAGGGCAGCTTAAGTCAGAAAACAAATACTTGGACACTTACAAGGGCTATGAGAGTGATCCTGTGAAAAACGAACTTAACATTCAAACGTCCCCACCAAATGGGAGAAACCTGGCGGCCCTGAAGAAAATCGGACAAAATGTGCCCAGTGTTGCCTTCCGGATTCAAAGAGGACACAGTAGCACGTCCACCAGTGATGTAAAGAATTACAGAGAGCAGTATTCCAAAGGACAGAGCAGCAACACAAAGAGGAACGTATTTCTGGTAAACAACATCCAGATTCACTTGGAAATAGTACAATGCACCCAGAATGGCAATACTTGAAATGGCAGCAAAAAGACCTGAAGGACAAAACGAGTAAATCAGACAATAGGACACACAACAACATAGTAAGCACATCACAAATGCAAAGGAAAAACATGTATTACCATTAGTTCGAACCTTGTGACGTCCTCCTTTCATTGGAGGGCCATCAACCAGCTGTCCAATGGGGATCAGAGCAAGAATTGTTTGGATGGCAACAAAGCCAAGGTATATCAGTGAGGCTTCCTTATCAATGTATGTACGCCAGTTGAGAGAGAGGGATTTGATATTCAGTACAGAGCACTGACTCTACAAAAGTGAAAAGAAAGTAAAAAAATACATCAAATATAAATCAAATTCTCTTAGAAACATGTTGAAATAAAATCATTCAGGAAGGACAGTAGACATACCTTGGTGCAGATAAGAGGCATCAGCAAGAATATGAGTGGTGTAATGAGAATTATAAGAAGAGCAAAAAGCGACACAGCAAAGTCAGCAGCCTTCCCTTTGGTGCCTTTCTTGGAGCTATCAATCAAGTTTTGAACTTGTTTGGCGTCATCCTGTTCAGTAAAATATGCTGTTAGTTCTATACATATGCAATATTGACCATTATAACAGCAAAATAATACGACATAACCCATTACCTCTGAAGACCTAGCAGTGGTGCGTGCTGATCGCCTTAGTCCAGAAGTTTCAGGTTTTTCAATGGACGTTTCTAATTTCTTAACAGGAGACTTTGAGATGGGTTCAACTAGGTCCAGGGAAGATGCAAGAACAAAAACATAAAAAAAAATTAACAACATTAATTTACCAACAACTGTGATAATCAGAATAGAAAATCTGAACAGTCCAACACAGCAACATCCATATAGGAATATATTAACTTACGCAAAGGTCTGTCGACATCATCCAGATCAATCAACTTCACTGAAGGGGAAACTTTCTTACTTCTTGCAGGAGATTTTGGTCGAGCGGGTGACTTAACTCGAGCAGGAGATTTGCTGCGGGCTGGAGACTTGGCTCTGGCTGGTGACTTTGATCGTGCTGGAGATTTAGAACCAGCTTTGGAGGGAGATTTGCCAGGAGGTCTCCCAGGTCTTTTTTTAACAGCCTTAAGCAATTCAATTAGTGGGGGTGAAATAGATCCACTTCGAGAAGGAACAGGGGAAGAGGACCTGGCTGGTGATTTGCCCCGAGCAGGCGATTTGCCTCGAGCAGGTGACTTGCCACGGCCTGGTGACTTGCCACGGCCAGGTGACTTGCCACGGGGGCTTTTGACTGAAGCCGGGGATCTAGACCTTGATTTCCGACGAGCCACCATCTTTACCTGCAGAAATACCAGAAGAAAAACAATGATATAGTGGGATATACATAAAACCATAACAAAACGTATGCCATAGCATGCTGAGACGGTAGGTGCAAAAAATTATCTGCACGGTTACAGGACACATTCTAAAGATATGAGGATAACATGAAAGAAAAGCCTTGCAGACAAGGTGAACCGAAAAATTAACACAATAATTAATGTGTACTTAAAGTGTAAGTCAAAACGAACTCTACATCAATGTTTATGATCACTGTAAACACGAAGAGAACCCATAAAGCTACAGAGGTTAGACGCCTGGGTAAGTATGTTGCTTGAGTGAAATGATAAAAGAATCAACCAAAGCACAGTCGAGGGTAACATATACACTTTGGGAGTAATGTATACAAAAAAAATGATAGGAAACTACAACCAAAGTGACCAACAAACTCGTTACAGCCAGGATTGTTTACCGACAGTTAAGGCGGCAAAACCCTATTAAGCACACCATAAACAAACTACAGAACAGCAACTTTCCTCGTCGAAAACAAGTACCAAACGGTAAGGGAAAATGTGGGAACAGATGTCACTCAAAAACTCGATAGTACATACCGTTTGCTGTCGAAATATACAATAAAAACTTCCGTTGAATATGAGGGGGAACGTGTACACAGCTCAAAACCCTCGACCCCAGCGTACAACCGACGCCAAGCGGCAGCGCCAAGCCAAGCCGTTCCAAAGTACTACGGTAAACGGCTTGCTATTGGTCGCTTCGTCAAACTGAATGTGACTCAAGTCAAAACGGAAACTAAAATAATCACCGATCGAATAACAACAACCCAATTACAGAAAAATTACGTAAAACTATAACATTTGTATTTAAATTCGAAAAATTTCCGAAAAAGACAACGACGAAAATATTTGTAAGATTTTCAGACAACTTACTTTGGCGCCTTTTTCTGATCAGTGGCGGTTAACGAGTCGACACTCAACGACCTCTTTCGTCAAAAACGTGAAAGTAACGGCAAAACTGGTTTTGGGCAGCCCGGACGGTGGCGCCTCCATCGAGCTCGACGACAAAGAGAAGAACCACTTTCCGAACGGAAACACGAACACGAACGAAGCGAAGAACGAGAACGAAGACGAAGACCGACCGAAGCCGAACCGAAGTGAATGCTCAGCAGTCCAGCAACCATCGTTTAACCTAGAAGCAGAAGCCACAGAAAAAAGAGATACTGTTTTGTTTGTTGGGACGATTTAAGCATTTGAAATGGCGTTTTGTTGTAGCAGGTAAAGTCATCTAAAATGCAACAAATTAAACGCGTTGTCTGTGACGCGTTTCTGAAAAAAACCAAATGATCCAATTTTCGGTCTGTCATGCCAATAATATTTTTATTCTAATTACATTATTGAATTGTTTTTGTACTGCATTGAAGATTCTGAAACATTTTCGAAGGAATTGGAACATTTCTTTTTAATTTTTATTCTCTTGGTGATTTGAAACTAACTTGTAATCTAGTTAAAACATCAGAGGTTATAAGTGATTCAGGGTCATTTGTAACTACGGCACTTGTCATTTGCATATGGTTACTTATGTTGGGATCAGGGTTTTATCTTTTCTTAGCCGGTAACTGTCTTCTATCATTGCTGATTTCTTTTTTTTATTGTGGTTAATCTGCAGATTGTTGGCGTCAACTCACCTGAAATCTACTCCATCAATCCTGTTGCGAGGCCTCTACACCTCTCCGTTAGTTCACTGATCAAACTTTATTCTTATTCCATTTGCAATATCGTTTATCTTGTTATGTATTTTCAAATGTATTTATTAATTCCTCCCGGTAACTGTCTTCTATCATTGCTGATTTCTTTTTTTTATTGTGGTTAATCTGAAGATTGTTGGCGTCAACTCACCTGAAATCTACTCCATCAATCCTGTTGCGAGGCCTCTACACCTCTCCGTTAGTTCACTGATCAAACTTTATTCTTATTCCATTTGCAATATTGTTTATCTTGTTATGAATTTTCAAATGTATTTCTTATTAATTCCCTGTAAATCTTCCATTCTGTCAAATCAAGGAGATGCCTGGCCACCATGAAGGTTATGCCATACAAACCGCCTGCAAAGGAAGGACATGATGAAAGAAACATGCGGCTAAATCGCCCTTTGTCACCTCACCTTCTCATCTACTCACCTCAGCTGACTTCTATGCTGTCAATCACACATCGTATGACTGGATTAGCTCTTACTGCCTATATGACAGGCATTGCACTAGGTAAGCAGTGCTGTTAAACATATCCTATGTATGGTAAAGTGAACCATTTGTGTTTGGATTATTCAATTGTTGTTTCTTTTCACCCCATCTCATTTTCTAGGGGCTCTCATGCTGCCACAACCACTGTCAGCATATCTAGCAGCTGCTAGCCTATCCTCTGGCACTATTTTTGTTGGCAAATTTATCATGGCATTTCCTTTTGCTTACCACTTTACTAATGGAGTTCGTCATTTGGTAAGATAAACTTTGTGCTACTAAAATCCATGCCTCATTCTTGTTTTCCGTCAGCAAAGGGTGTATCTGTTCACTTTCTCTGTTTGACAGGTCTGGGACATGGGCAAGGCACTCACTATCAAGGAGGTTTACTCCACCGGATATGTCATGCTTGGAATCTCAGCAGTTATCACTCTGCTTCTAATGGGAATTTAGAGACATACTCTAGTTTATCTCAGAAACTTGTGTATATATCTCAACCTTAGATCATTTATTAAAATAAAATAAGTTGATAAAAGACAAAGGTATTATGTTGGTTCCTCAAGTCTGATCCAGAAGCAATTACCAATATTTCTGAAGTGCAAGAAAATCTGAGCTTCGGGTGTATTTTGTAAATTTTCAGTATTGTGATGTATGTTTTCTGACAAGCTTTTCACAATTTTGTGTTTGTGTGTCATTTGACCTTGTTATTTATTAAATGTGATTAATTTATTACTTGGTTATTTTATGAATTTCAATCTTGTGAAACTGTTAAGTGTGGGATCATGCGGCTCAATTGTTTTCAAGAATCCACTCGATGAAAAGTGAAAGTTAACGTGTACGCATGTCTACTCTGTCTTCTTAATACAGATATACGTGGCTACACAACACTTCATCGACGTATTTTCACTATGAAAGGGGGGTTTAGATTGGCGACGATTGTAATTTTTGGATACGTTGTAGTTGGTTTTGGGGCTGATTTCCAACTAGAACGTATCTAATAAATGACAATCGTGGCCAGTATAAACCCTGCATTAATATGGACACTGAGCGGTGCGGCTTAAGGGACTCTAGCACTATGGTCTGGGAGCAACAGGAACGAGGGGGGGGGGGGGGTACTCCGCGTCTTCCCTGGCACAGGAATCCCGCGCTCTCGCACCGTTTGAGGACTGGAGGCCTGAGTCGGAGAGGTCGCGAGGAGCCGGGAGCAAACAACACCGCGGTAGGAGCCGGCACGGTATATGAGATAACGGCCGTTTTCAAGTCAAACACGAAACCAGTTGGTGTTCAGGGCAGTGTGGCGTGCTTCTGACGGCGCAGCTCTGGGGGGTCCTATGGGGACTCACCTGGCTTCTCCCGCCCACCCCCGGCAACTAAAGCCCCGCCCTTAAGCTCTTGAGTCCGAGTGATTGAGGCATTGCTGCGGCGTGCGCGCGGCCCGCGCGGCCCGCGAGGCTGGGGGCTCTGTCCCTGCTCTAGGGCTCGAACGGCTTCCTCCTCCCCACCCCAGCTCGGCAAGGCGAGGTTGTCGCCTTCCAGTGGGATCGTTGTTCCCCCGAAATGTGGCGCGTTCGGCGTGCTTCTCGAGCCTCGTGCCGATCCAGCCTGGAGGCGAAATCATTCCGGACCGGCGTCATCGACTGCGACGAGGACTAGTGCACCTGGTCCATGACCTCATCGTGGAGGAAGCACGACCCCGGCCCCCCACCCACCTCGCTCCGGGACTTCCATGATCTTGAAGTGCGAAGCGAGCTGACG